TTTGCTTTGATTTCTTACGTCTTCAAACTGTGCAGTTCTTGGAAGTGTTAAAATCTTTCCCAACCCAAGGAACAAGGTTTCTCTTTACTTTTCTGCATTGTCATTTTCTTGGGCTATTCTTTTTTCCCCTGCATTTTGTTCTTTATTTTGCTTTAGTTTCAATCTTTAAGGCTCTACTCAAAGCTGTTTTCTAGGGTTTTACGTGCTTTACTTTGTTACTCCACTAGCTCAGTCTCATTTTTTATCTTTTTTCTTTTATCTTTTCTTCTTATCCTATTGCACTTTAATCTTGTTAAGTGTTCACATTCTGTTATTTAGTCTACTCTTGTCTGGTAGCTATGTGACAGTAGGGTCTTTACTCTTTTATGTGACTCTTACATCTCAACTATTCTCCCAACATAATGCAGGAGAGTTAAGGCTTCCATATCAAGCAGGCAAACACTACAAATTTCCCAAAAATATGAATCCACTTGCCTAACTGGCAACCCCATAGATGACTGCTGGAAATGTGACCCTGACTGGCCCAACAACCGCCAGCGGCTAGCCGATTGTGCCATTGGGTTTGGCCAGTATGCCCTTGGTGGCAAAGGCGGTGAATATTACATTGTCACAGATTCATCTGATGATGATGCTGTTACTCCAAAGCCTGGAACTCTAAGATATGCTGTGATTCAGACAGAGCCGCTATGGATTGTGTTCCCAAGTAACATGCTCATTAGGCTCAGGCAAGAGCTTATCTTTAATAGCTACAAGACTTTGGATGGACGTGGGGCTAATGTGCACATTGTGGGTGGTGGGTGCATTACTCTGCAGTATATCAGCAATGTCATTATTCACAATATACACATTCATCATTGTATTCAGTCTGGTAAGAAATCATAAATTCAATCTATTAAATTGTTAGCAGTTAAAGGACTTTCCTTTTCCTAAGTTTCAGATAAGTAATAATTTCTTGGCAGAGTAGTTGTAGAATTGATTACAGATGATAGATCTCTTACAATTTCACTTGATGAGATAATATAATCTCACTCTGATTCTCAAGTTCTTTATATATATATATATATATATATTGTTATTAATTTTAAGAATAGAACAGTCCACTGCTTGTAAGTGAATAGAAATTTTTCCAACAAAATGCTTGGATATATGGAATAAGAATAACTTGTGAAGGCAGATTTTATGATTGATTATCTCACTTTTTGAAGCAAATATCCTGTAAAGGTTCATCAGGATTAGGATTCCTTTCATTTCTTTTTGCAAATATGGCAATTACTTTGCTAAATTTGTCCCTGAACAGGTGACACTAATGTGAGGTCAAGCCCGACACACTATGGCTGGAGAACAAAATCAGACGGTGATGGGATCTCCATCTTTGGCTCCAAGGACATTTGGATAGATCATTGCTCCCTTTCCCACTGCAAGGACGGCCTGATTGATGCAATAATGGGATCAACAGGTATCACAATATCAAACAATTTTTTCTCCCATCACAATGAGGTGATGCTGTTGGGTCACAGCGATGGCTATGAGCCTGACTCTGGCATGCAAGTGACCATTGCCTTTAACCACTTTGGTGAAAAATTGGTTCAAAGAATGCCTAGATGCAGAAGAGGGTATATACATGTCGTGAACAATGATTTCACACAATGGGAAATGTATGCTATTGGGGGTAGTGGAAACCCAACAATTAACAGTCAAGGGAATCGTTACACTGCTCCTTCTAACCCTGATGCTAAAGAGGTAAAAACATGATTATGCCTACTATTTGCTTTTGGTTCTTTTAGGAGTTTGGCAAGTTTGAAATAAGACTCTTATCACCGCAAATTAAGCACCTTTTCATGGTGGGGTTGTCTGAAAGTGAAAGTAATTGAGAAGGTGTTAAAGCTGGAAACCAATATTACAAGTTTGCACGGAGTTCGAACTGTTCTTTTCATTTTCCATGAGAGATAACGTCTTTATGGACAGTTCTAGCAGCAGCCCATTGGTAGTCATTAAACAATCTTAAGTTCAGGATTCCATGTTGTCATCTCATGCACTTTTCAATATCCTTCTTTCTTCAACATAACCAGCCATGTCATATACTAATTAATTTTATCTAACTGTTTTTTCTCACCATTTCAAAATCTGGATTATTAAAAGTTTTCTTAATCTAATGAATAGAAGTGCATAAACCGAGGACTAGCATGTTACTCGATTATACCGGATGGTGCAGGTAACTAAGCGAGTGGATACAGCAGAAGGAGATTGGAAGGACTGGAATTGGAGATCAGAAGGTGATATAATGGTAAATGGAGCCTTCTTTGTTGCATCAGGTGAAGGAGTTGAGGTCAAGTATGAGAAAGCCTACAGTGTTGAGCCTAAATCTGCTGTTCTTATTGACCAGCTCACTATGCACTCTGGAGTTCTCGGAGTTGGCGGCAGGTATGCATAATAATTTATTAATTGTAGTACTATTTCTTTCTTTGCCTTTAATTTTTTCCCCCTTTATTTGCTTTCCCTTTAAAACACTCTTTTTCTTTATAATGGAACTCCCTCAACATTCAGTAATATTATTTATCAGAATCATGTCATCATGTAGGTTAGCCTTAGCCCATGATGGGGCTAAACCATTACTGATAGATGGGCTTGTCTCAAAAGCCTGAGTAGTTTTGGACTAAATTTTCTCACTCCTTGGCCCTTTCCGTTATCTTGGGCTCCTTTGGGTCCCAACATGATGTTGGTCCAATGTCATTTTAGGAGCCTTGGTAGTGCACTAAAGTGAAATGCACATGCTTCGGTAGTTACTAGCCAAAAACTTTTATGAGAAGTCTAAATTTGAATGATGATGTGCAGGGACAACTACCTGGGAAAGTGGAGCAGTGGAGCCAACGGTGGTGGAACCGGTTTTGACTCAGGCTACGAGGGCGACGATGACTACTCAGATGAAATGTCAGGAAGCAACACGCCATTGTCACCACCCTTTTTTAACCCATCTCTTTTCTCTCTTTTTATTGCAACGTCAAGCTTTTTATTGTTGTACACTATACCCCTATCATCCATGTTATAACAACAGGACAAGTTAATGACTTTGTTTCCTTTTATTTCTATCCGCTTACAAGGAAACGAAAAGGGGCTAGTCTTTGATTATCAGAATTCAGAAATTAAATTCCACTATCTGCTGGCTGCTCCCCACTTGGAACATGCATCTCATTTAAAACTAATGCAGCTTTTTCATATAAAAAACCTTTAAAATGAAAGATCTTAGCCTTAGTTAGGATATAAAGTGAAGATTATCTATCAAGTTGAGGAAGAGAATGTTTTGAATGTCCAGAACATATATGAAACTCTTGTATAATATTGAGGCATGATAAGGTTTTTTATTGGGAGAATCCACACATGCTAAGACACAGTTTTTCTCCACCACCATTGAATGATCACTTTTAAACACTGAACAACTCGTTTTCAGCCTTTTTTTTTTCCCAAATTTTTGGTGACCTTTTTGGAGTTGCTATCTTGTTAACTTGATGTAATTGGTTTAAGTGTCTCTTATTTATTTATTTACAAAAGAGCTCTAGCTCAAAGATAAGGAAAAGGTAGTAGGTATTAAAATTTAAATTCCAAATACGCTAAATGTTTCTTCTTAAATAACTGATTGAATCAACTGGTTAAGTCTTGATTTTGAAAAGAACACATTGCATATTCTTATATCTTTTGATTAAAAATCAAGAACTAGAATAAGCTTTTAAGCATATCCTTATCAACTAAAAGTACTCTCATCCCTTGATGAGAAAGCAGGTATACAAGATTCTCAACTGATAGAAATGAGATAACTATTATTTGACACAGCAAAGAGAAAAAAAGAATCACTATATAATTACTAAAAAGCTTTTAGGAAGGTGATATACTAAAAAACCAAGAATGATACAATAACATATAATGATCATCTTCTACCTCAAGGTACCAAATTAGAAACTAATGCCTTTTACATTTATGGCCAGAAGATGATGTATTTTTTGCAATTTTTATCCAGTTATGGGCCACTCGTTTGCCACTAAAAGGCTCTGTAACTCGTGCAGTTTTAGCTTTATATCCAATGACTGACTCTAGACTTTTGGCTAATAAAATCTGAAAATCATTAGTGTGTGGACAGATAGACAAAAGATGTAGTTCCATTATAACAAATTAAAGGTCCTAGAGTATTTTAAAGGGAAAGATTCGGTTCCCCTTGAAGGAATGTGACATCTACTGATTTAAGGCCAGTTCAGTTCATGTAGCTAGGCTTGTCTTTGCTCCCACCTCACGGGCTAGCTAATTGCTGAAATGCATAAGATTATCTTGTTTATTTATTTAGTACACTTGACCAACTTTGTGGCTCATGAAGATGTATTAGCATATGACATTGCTGCCTTTACTAGCTAAGGAACTGTTAGTGATGTGATGATATACTGATACACCCCCTCTAAGCCAAATCTGCCTGAAAGAAAAAAGAAAAGGAAAAAAAAATTGGGACCTTATGCCATGGTTTGAATGTTTCCCATCAGAACCTGGGTTTAAAAATCCAGGTATTATCTGGGCGGACAATGTTTTCTTCACTTTTCTTCTTTGATAGTTAAGTTCAGTAATGGCAAACTTGTGACTGCATATTTTGAAATAACATCACCATTATATACAATACAATGCTATTGCTTCAGCCACAGTATGGTAATAGTATGCTTAAAGAATGTTTTAAATTAGCTATAATCCCTTTATATGTTCTAATCAATGCCTAATTAACCAATTCACAACCACGTAATCATATCAGTTTCAGTTGTCCCAAGTCATAAAATAACAGGAATTGTTAGGCAGAAGCAAAGCTGTAAAATGTATGTTTGGTTTTTAGATGGCCAAGAAACAAAGAAAATAGCAGCATATTGCATTTTCATTTACTAAACAATTTCTGAAGCAGATCAATCAGAAACTCAAGCAGGAGTCACTGAATCATCTTCATTTATTAATTCTTATCTTTTGTCGTGTTTATTATTATTCCTTAACTAAGAAATACTTTTACCAAAGCAAATAGAAAGGCATTTAACAGAGAAAGGGTCTTTGAATCTATACATAAAGGAGAGGTTGCTGAAATCAGTCCTTAAAAACAGTAAATATACATAAAAATATAAAAGTACATTTATGGTTATGCATTAATGTGATGCAAAATGTTTATGTTTCACATTCTGATAGCTTCTTCATATTCACTTTTTAACAGTGACATTTTAATCCATGTTCCAGAGGGAGCCTGAACATCCCCATAAATCATTCTCCTGGGAAATCCATGCTGGATAACAGTTGCATGAATCCGTACTATTAGAGTCTTCCTGAGATTTTATTTCACTTTGATCACTTGGAAACTCTGATATCCAATCTGATAACCTGGTTTGATATGGTGAACTTGTAAGAGTGTAATCTGACAGCGCAACAGCATCATAAGAAACGTTTCCAGCTTCCAAAATATCCTCACAAGGTTTGTAGCTTTCACCATTGTAAGTTTGGGCGCTGCTACCATCTTCTTGAAACAAGGAAAGTTGTTTGCCATTGTCTCTTCCTAATTGAAAATTTTCTGTTGAAACCTAAGCTGTTAGAAGTAAGCAGAGGTAATACCAGTGACATCAAAAAGCAAAGAGAACTTGGACTGCACCTTGCTCTTGAATTAGTGCTTTCTTTCTTAAATAAGTTCTCCAGTAGTTCTTGATCTCATTATCAGTTCTTCCTGGCAACCTTCGTGCAATCATTGACCATCTATGGAAAAGTATGTTTAAACTTTAGAGAAGGAAGCACAACTGAAAAAAAAAATGCAAGAAGATGAAAGTATCTCACTTGTTGCCCCATCGCTTGTGAAGTTGTAGTATGATCTTTTCTTCATCAGCACTGATATGGCCATGCTTTAAATTGGGTCGCAGATAGTTCAGCCACCTCAACCTGCAACTCTTGCCACTTCTCTTTAGACCTGAAAGTAAACACCTTCTTTATAAGAAAAGAAAGCTTGTCATACAAGAAAAATTAATGATCACAAGTGTACTTCCTTGTGGATTATACCAGAAACTCTAGCTACATAATCCCATCTCCGGCTTCCCAAAAGTTTCACAAAGGTTATTAATCTCTCATCTTCCTCCTCATGCCAAGGCCCTTTATGCAAACTTTCTTCTTGCATGGGTTCAGCTTTTTCGTGAACCATTTTTCTGTTGCAGATGACTAGGGGGGGAGGGGTGTTTCAAGTCTTCTTATATAAAATACTGAGGTGGCAAAAAGTGTGGTAGAAAAAGCAAAAGAAAGGTGACCAGAAAATCTTACATGGCACCATAGCTGGAGAACACTAGTTTTGTGGGAGCTCCACAATTGGCTTACATGATTTCATTCTAATAAGGTTTCAATTAGGTCATTCATATATTTTTATAATTTTGCTTCTTTAAATTGACGAAGTTCTATCGCCTTTTGCATCATCATTTCTGTCGGTATATGAAATGTTGTACTCTGCTTCAACAATAACTACTAGTTCTAGTTTTCATATTAGCAGATAGCTATGGTCCTTTGTCAAAAAACTTTTTAAGTATAGAAGTGCAATATTTTATTTCAGTAAACGTAATCCGATTGGTAAAGAGAGATAAAAGAATTTAAAATTTAATTCAGTTAGTTTATTTAACATTTTAAAAAGATAATATCCAATAAATATAAAATTCAAATTTTAATATATATAATTATTTTTTTATTTTTAAAATATGACATATGGATATTGTTTTATAAGGTATTAGAGAAATAGAATATCAAAATCTGAATCTTGAAGTGATCTTCCCCTTGTTAAGAGTGTTATCCTACTCATCATTTGCCAAGGCATTAAGAATCATCACTCAAAAAATGTTTTTTTTCCTCTTCCATTTGTCATTGAACATAAATAACCTAGTTTTACTCGTCTGCTTTTGTCCTTTAACCAACTTGTCCTTGGTGTGGACAGCTCCAAAGAAATAAGATAGGACGGCCTTCTAGTCCTGGAAAATGCCATTCTTCTAAAAGGTTAAGGCCCCATCTTAGCCGCCTCTCTTAATGATAAGGCATTTATTGGAGACGACTGATGAGGCAGTTCCATGAATGAAGCAAAGAATATTGGGAAGTACATTTGCTTTGAACAATAAATGCTTGAAACATACACCACAATATATAGATTTAAGATAGGCGATGGCATCTTAGCCGCCATAGGGCTTGGCACCAATGGTTATCAGCCTCTCACCGAATCCCTTTAGGACGGTGGCCGACCTGCTGGGCCTAGCTCCAATACCAGTAATAAAGCTCACTTGAGGGTTTTATTATCCCCTTTAAGGAAAAAAAAAAAAACCACCATAGAAGGGAAGATTATGAATTGCTAACAAACCATAGATCACACATCAACAGAACTTTTCAGCACAACATTTGTAAGGGTAAAAACTAAGTGAAAGCTCCAATGAGACCATATTTATTCAAATTGATGAAGGAAACTCGTAGACATTACTGTCACAGTATCTGACTTCTAAGATGAAAAATCCATAAAAACATAATATGACCCAAAATATATTTTTTAAAAAAAAGCCTCTTTGTGTTATCATCCCTGAACTAGACTATTTTACCTCTAAGGGGGAAAAATGATAAAAAAAAAATTAGTAAAAGAATCTTATTTATAGTCACTGTTGTTGCACATGCTGCAACTCTTCATAACAACGACAATCCAGAATAGCCTGCAAGCGCTATTTGCTGCTGCTTTTCCTTCGGCAGCTTTAAAAGCCTAAGCCGTTAGCGATGTAAGAATGACTTGTTCATGAGGTTGACAGCATCCTCCATTAACTGCATTAAAGGTACCAAGTAACCAAATTAATCACGAGTTGTTATCAGATTCACATGCTTTACATCTACAAGCACATTTGTAACAGTTACAAGAGCCAGAGCTCAAATGAAGTGCTTCCCTAAACAATACCTCAGAGTACTGAAACCAGACCATGTTCCTAAAGCGTCTCTTTTTGCTTATTTCCAGTCCAAAGATAACTTCAGAATCAGAGAGGATACAGTAAAGTGAAAGACACTCGGAGGTTAACTCACATTTAGGGTTAATGTTCTTAATGTTCTACTCCAATCCAATACAAGGATGCAATGTTCTTAGTATGTTAGGATCAGAAAGACTCGAAAAAGGCATCAAAATTATGCATGGAACAAAACTGTCCATTTCTTCCAAAAATTATGGGCTCCAGGCCCACACTTCCAAGCCATGGGCTTTGGACTCTTCATCTCCTCCAAAAATCCTCCAGAAAATCATGGGCCTTTTGGACTGATCAGCTGAGACCGAATGGCAGAGTCCACTGTGTTTCAGGTAAAAATTGATCTCATTTTCTTCCAGACATATTTATCACATGAACTTCCTGTTGTTCTTTGGTGAAAATTATTACTTGGTTTTCCAGCAAAAATTCAATAGAAGAGGTCGGATGCCTTGAAATGCCATAGGATGACAAACTAGAGCAGTCTCTTTTCCACCTGATCAACCTCAATTCTAAAGATATAAACTATATGAACTTCTTGGGCCTCTTGGCTAGAAAAAGTATTTTGGAATAAAATGCTTTTCAAACACAAAACAATAGGTTTCTGCTTCACCACATACTCCTCTATCTCAACACTTTAAAGCTTTTCATAATGATGTTGCCTAATTTCAAATGCATACGGCAACTTTACTCTGAAAATAAGCTCACCAAAATTAAAAGTTCCTTATTACGAATGCAAGTGAGGCAATAAGTGGGTCTCTGTGTATGCGTGAGATAGGAAAGCATCTGGAACTATGTTTTTTTTTTACCTTTCCAAGCAACTTGAGTTCTTTATCGACTGGTTCCAAAATTTTCATATTAACTTCAATTGGCCACACCTGTCAATATCAAAAAGAGGATTAAATTAACAAGTGTGTACCAGACAAGGCTTCCACCGAAGACATACAAAAGTAAGGCATTTCTATAACAGACACAATGCTTTGGGCAGATAAAGGGAAATAACAGTTTTCTAAGTTTTAAACTTCATTTGAGTTTATTCTTTATAGAAAATGCATAATAGTTCAGAATATTACTTCAAATGCCATTAATGATTAGACCAAACATCGGAATCATAAGTTGTCATACCCTTTCAAAAATATGAACTGTAAAGTTTAAAATAAAAAATTAATCAAATGGTTGCATAAAAAAATAGATATATCTAGAGAGAGAGAGAGGTAGCCTAGTCAGTGTATGGCCCAAAGTTAGTTAGAATGAAACAAGACACAACTTGTGTCTTTTGCTAAAGTTAAATGCAACAGCCAATGTTCTCGAATAGTCTTCAACGGGTCTAACACCAGCCACAGTTAACTGGCAAAATCTCCAATGCAAAAGCCCTAGATAAAGCCTTTTCCAGAAGATAAGCAGTAATGAAGTAAATAAGATAAAGTTGCACAACTGTTTCGTATCCAAAACTCCAGGCCACAAGGATTCTTTTGGTTGTATTTAAGTTACTTCGCATGAATTGAGAAAATAAATTAGATACTCGAGCATTAGTACTAAATTATCACTTCAATGAAAGCCTTCCTAGTTTGACGTTGTTTTGTTAACGATGAAACGGAAACAAACTTTGGGTTTGGGTTGTTGAAGTCTCGAAAAGAAGATATGACAAAGAAATGAAAGGAAAATAAAGAAGCTGTGAAAATGTGGATAGCTTTTTCTCCAGGTTTTATTTCCAAACAACAAACTGAGGCTTTCCGAAACAGTTTCATTTTGTGGATATGAATATGATATTTGTATTTTGGTTTTTTGTAGCTTTTCTATTTTTCTGTTTTAATTTCATTCTATTTTTTTTTAGTTTCTTTTTATTTGATTTAACAATTACAATAGCCAATCTGAAACACTCTAGAAGATGACATAAACAGAGTGTGGAACATGTTGTGCAAGTTCAAAGATAATGAGATATTTTCAGATCCATAATTGGTTTTGATAGCATGCCTTGTCGGCTTGACAGCTTTCTAAAATCATTTGCAGAAAACAAAAGAGATTGATCTAATCTGATTACATAACAAGTCTAGAACAATATCTCAACTTCTATCCAACCTGTCTCCCAAATCCTAACATTTCTAACAGTTGTACACTTGTATTGGGCATGCCAGTCTGTCAGCCTTTAGTAAAAATAAACCAACCAAACCAAAGGCACATTGATATCCAGCTGCCCCAATTGGAAAATTTTGATCCTAATTTTTAATCTTAAAAAATGAAAATCTCAAGTAGTAACATTGTGTTGGAAGAAGAAATAGCTTGACAAAAAATACAAGTCGTTCCTCACAGATTAGTCTTAATCTGCATCATGTTACTAACCAATTCCATTCATTTTAAATTACATTTATCACTGCTCCTTCTCAGTTATCTTCAACGATCAGATTGAGACCAAAAATAAAAATTTTAAAAAGAAAAAAGAAAATTTGGGGCAGGGATAAAAAAAATACCACCAAAATGGAGAAGGGAACAGCAGCACAGCCATCATCCCAGATCCAATCATTTCTTATGCTAGACAAACCTACTCTGATTATCCAGTTAGACTGTAATCATGTCGTCTTCCCCTCTCTGCGCTGCCACATCTGCCAGTTTTTTCCATGTCATTTCTCGTCGCTCTTCCACCTCGCTGGCTCTAGCCTCCTTCTCTTCAAACTGTCTCTGACACTCATCAAACAACTCAGCATCCATTTCCAAGAACATCTTCCGCACATTCACAGTCAACCCATGAACTGCCTGATTCCAATGACTTTGGATATTCCTCTCCAATGCCTCAAAGATGATTGGTAATACCACCTGTCGATTCTGCGCAATTAAGCTCACAATGTGCTCATTATTCCACAAAAAGAGGGCTCTTTCTGCAACCTGCAATACAAAATGTTCTTAGGAAAAATTCCGAAGAAAAGTTCTAATTTATTACTTATAAGATACAAAACAAGTTTTAAAGCAGCCAACAATTCAGTAGAAACCCATTCCCTCTAACAATTCTAAATTGTGATCAGCACAATGGAAACCTTACTAATTAAAGTAAATACCAAAGAACTCCAAATATTCCATTATATCCTAATTTAGAAAAGGTAATTTCACCAATTTTGGTGAAATTATTTCAAGATGAGCAGCTGTGTAAGAAAATGAATGGAACTCAAGTAAAAGGAAACAACAGAAAGAACTTCCTGAGCAACCACAAGTTGATGTTTGAACCAAACAAATATCTATTCATAAACTCTCAAATTAACTAACCATGAGTGTAATCTGGAAGTCACAATGCATGGCAATAAAACATTATCTACAGACAGAAAAAGTCAATAGAAAATCAATGATGCAAGACATTACATAAAGAAAAAGCAATTGATTTTTTTTTTCTTTTTGACCGAATCTCGGCCAACAGAAAACCATGACACAGGAGCTCAGTCAAACAAGCATAGATAAACTACACCATAGGATAAAACTGAAACTAGTGGCTTACTGAATTGGACACTGAGCTACTCTACAGTACATTTTAATGGAAGGAGAAAGAGAGAACCCAATGGAATGCAAATACAATGTTCAAAACTAGGCAACAGCCGGCACAACCTTCCAAAAACATATCAGAAACGAGAAAACACAATGTATGAAGCACATTCCAGCACCTTTCTAGAGTGCCAATGATTATGCTTAATCAGAACCACAAGAAATTACATAGAAGTACCAAAAAGTTATAGGAGAAATATCATAAACCGGTAATAATTGGCATCAATCAATTACTACCATAATGGTTGTTAATCCAGTCCTAGGCTTCTGGCAACAATTCCACATTCCGCAATTCTGAATACTAATGGTTCCTAAAGGTGATTGACAACTCATACTATTGGAGGCATATTCAAAAGACAAAAGCCCTTATATGTTACCTGAAAATGAGAGCTATTGAGGCAACGTCCAATCTGTCTGAAAAGAGGAACCATACATCGTTGGAACTCTGCAGACTGCGTTGCTTCAAGTACTTCCTCAAGTTCTCCAAGGAAGAGAACTTCCTTCTGACAATTAGTCAAAGGCCAATACTTCAACAACCCTCTAATAACCGTATCAGCCAGCTTATAATCCTTCTCAACAAACTGAACAATACAATAAGACAACTGCTGGTGATAAATAGCAATGGGTTTGGGCTTATGCAATGGAATCAACGCTCTCACAAGGAACAACTTATGTTCTTCTTTCATAGGCAACGCGAAACCATTAATAATACTTCCTAGAATCTCCAAAAGCTCCCCAATCCCGCTATGCCTTTCCGTTTCGTATATAAACCTGTAGAAAATATTATTTATGGCCTTCCTGATAAACGGCCGATGCACCATGAATTTTCCATAAATCCTATGAAGAATTGTTTTCAAATACTCTCTTTCCCTGGGATCCTCCGAATCAAACAAATCAAGCAACTTCAAAACAAACGAATGATCAATGTATCTCTTGGCAACCTTAGTGTCCGTATCCGAAGACACGACATATCTCAAAAGAAGCTCGTAAACAAGCTGTAAATGCGGCCACGAGGGTTCCAAATAGGGCTCCTCTTCTTCAGGATCCGTGACTTCCTGTCCCGTGTTCTCGTGAGATGCCGGAGGGAGGCACCGGAAAATATTGATTCTGACCATTTTAATCATTTCTTCCTGACACATCTCCGTGATTTTGCCCGAACCGGATTGAATAAAATCGACGAGTTCCAGCAACGTTTGCCGCTTGATTTCCTTTTCTCGGATCGATTTTAAAGTATCGGAGAAATCGAGTTGGAAGCAACAAATCTGTAATTTTCTCATGAATAAATTCTGTCTCTCTGAAATGGGGACGTCACGGAATAACGGCAAGGGTTCCACAGTGCCCATCGGCGGTGGGACCATTGGGGCGACCGAATTCGGGCCTGGAGCGTACGGCCCGGTACGAGAAACGTGGTTGACGACCACATTGGGGGTTGGACCCGACCCGGGATTGCGGGAACCTGGTGGACCGACCCCGTATAAAGATGCATCCGTTGAATCCGATTTGGAAGGCTTCCGATTCCCTCCTTTCATAATTTTCTTCAACATTTTGGACCCAATAAAAAACCTCTAATAAGGATTGGGTTGACTAATCGAGCTACGGATTAGGAATTCGACGGCGGTTATTCCGATGTTAAAATGGATCGGCATGCATGGAATAATTTCCCCTTTGAAGGAGAACTCAAAAATGGATCTGAAAGATTTTAGATTAGAGAAGGAGAATGGGGATTTCCATAGTTTGTTTTTTATTTTCCCTGAAATGATTGGATTTTATCACCGTTAATTGATCCGAAATTTGGACAGAGTCATCTGAAAAAGCATATTGCCGGGATGTGCTCAGCTAATCCATCGGTGGTGTGTTCCGGCTACCAATTGTACGGACGGAACCTATTTAAGGGAAAAGCAAGAAGGAGAGAGAGAAAGAGGGAAGTGAAGTCGTGGGTAATTAAGGGAAGGAATACTTTAAAAATGAAAAAAAAAAAAAAAAAAAGATTGCAAAAAATGCCTTTTTAAACAGTTTATTTTTAAAAAATTAATTATTTTTTATTCTTTATTAAGGGAAGTGTAGTGGACGTTGTTTGATATACACGTGGTTTACGCGTGAAGAGTCGGCAAATCATGGGCCCACGATGAAAATCTACGTGGAAAAAAAGATTGGATTATTTTTTTACTGGTATTGAAATTTTGGATTGGCTTCCGAATTCTTCTGTTTTGGGCAATGCGAAATTTAAGCATCAGATAAAATTTTGGATCATATTAGATCATTTTAGTTTTTTCACTTTATTAATGTATAATTAATTAGAAAATAAAAAAGCTTGATTTTATTTGGTTTGTACGATTTCTAATTTGTCCAAATCACCAAATTTCAATGGCATTTAAAAATAAATTAAATAGATTTTCTATTCATTAAATAACATTTCAGGTCAGAACCGAACGTCAAAACCTTAAATTTAGGAGAGGCTGCTTGGCCCATAGATAGATCTAGCTGTAATTGAATGTATTTATTTACTTATTTAGTAAAGATTTGGAAAAATCTTTACTTGAAATTTGATTTTCTTTTTTTTTTTTTAATTTATAACATACTGTTAAACAGGATTTTTCTAATTTCATCCATCTCTGTGAAAAAAAAGAGTAAATTTATTTTAACAAAGAAATTTTATTTTATTTTTGATAATAAGTGATACTTTATAAATAAATTACTTTAAAAAGGTGAAAATTAAAAAATTTATATATATCTAATGTTATTTTTAAAAAATAATTATATAAATCAATTAAATTAAAATTTAATTCTATTGATAATTTATATTGATGGTTCAAAGGGATAAGAATAAAACGAGGGTCAAATAGAAATACAATTCCATATCTTAAATACGACATCAATGTTGTTATCAAGGAAGCTTAACCCACCAACAAGTTCTTGCTACAAATCAATATCTCATTGGTTAAAAAAGAACGTAGGAATCCAAATGGATTGGCTTCATACATTTTATCCATTGACATGAACTGGAAATTGACTAAAATAATTGTTGATGCTCAATGGACTGATTGATCCTTTCCAATAAGATATTCTCTTACAAACAAAGCTTTTTTCTGCTATGTTTTACAGTCGTCTGTGGTGGGGTATTCGAGTTAAGTGGACAGCTCATGGCCATTAATAATAAAGGATGAAGAAGAAGCAGCCTCAATTATTTTTTTAATGCTTATAACACCTTTAGTAGGTTGAAGAATTAGGGAAGAAGACATAGCACACACTTCAGCAAATAAAAATCTTTCATGTATTGTATTTGTTGAGCACACATCAATTACTCAGTGATGTTTAACGAGGGGTTTGGCAAAGAAAACAAAAACAAAATAAAAATTAAGGAGTCGTTAGAATGTAGTTGTGCTTCTATCCACAATGTTAGCTCAGGTCATTCATATATTTTTATTATATTTTATATAAAAATTATATTTCACAATTTATGTTTACATAAAAATATAAAAAATATATTTTAATTTAATTAAAATTATTTAAAATTTTTATTAAAATTTTAAATTATATTATTTTCGTACCAATACCATATCTGAATTTTTTAAGTTTGCACAGGCAAAGAATAACCCTTAAAAGAGTAAGTATTTGCTTTTGAGGACATCTAATATTATTAAATATTTAATGAAGGTTAGTAAAGTAAATATATTTTAAACTTATTAATATTACAATTTGCATATGATGGTTATAAAAAAAAAAACTATAAAATTCCATAAGGCTATTGAATGTTTATAAAAGTCACTAACAAGTGCATGCAATATTACTAAAAATTACATGAAAATTACATAAAATAATAATATTTCGAGCTTATTGATCTTGCATACAAATATTACATAAACTATTAAAGTTTCTTAAATTCAGTAATTCCATATTTATTAATAATTAAGTAAATCTTATGTTATTAATATCCAAAGAAATTACTTACAAATAAGTTTAATACTATTAAAAATTATATTAAAATCTTTCCCTCTTGTAGTACAAAAAAATTCTCTGTCTTGTTATCTTTTGTTTTTCACCTGAAGCTAAATAAGAGTACTTGCAATCACACAAAGAAAACATCCATCCCATCCTGCCCAAGCCCACTTGGTTGGGCTTGATGAAGAAATTCAATGATAAATGAAAGTAAGAAAAAGGAAGCGAGCCGAGCAGAGTGGGGCCTAAATGTTGGGCACTAATTGCATTTAATATTATCCTGATTGGCCTTATGCTCAAGAAATTTGGTCCCAGACATCTGCTGCTCATGAAGCAGTATGAGCCCATTTAACTCATTGCAAAATGCAAAACAGGCAACATCTTTCAGGAAGCTGTGGCCCATCGACACAAGCTTCTGATGCATTCCCAGTGCCAGTTTCTTGGCTGAATAAAGTTTTGGTAGCCAGAAGTTGGCATTTGGCAATTCGTCTTCCCATAAATTTAGACAATAATTGAGAAGACCACCTTCGTATGACAGCAAATGAGGGTGGCTGTCCATTCCAAAGCGTGGTTTGTGTCCTTTTGATTGAGTGGCTAATTCACTATCTGCTATTGTAAGATGGATTTATCATGAGGCTTGTCTTTTTCGGGTTTTTATGCCCCTTTATTTTTTTTTTTTCTATTGGCATTGGACCAACAAAAAGAGTGGCAGAGGAAAAACTACGGCAAGTTAAAAGAGGTTGGACACGCGGATATCCATATCCAACATGTAAGATATTTTTTATTTTAATATAAAAATTCATAATTTTATTTTATAAAAAATATTTTATAAGTTTTAAATTTAGATATATATATATCATATATTTAGATTTCTACACATTATTTCAATGTGTGATTGGGCTTAATTTTAAATTTTTATATATGTATCATATCATATTCACACATTATTTTTATATAAGATTGAGTGAAGATTGTTAGAATTTTAAAAATGATTTCACACATTCATCCGACTGATGATCATTTTAATATTATCTCATAAAAAATATTTTATAAGTTTTAAATTTAAATATATATATATCAACTTATGATTATAATGATTTTATATCACAAAAAATACTTTATAAGCTTTAAATATATATATATATATATCGTATCATATTCACGTATTTTTTTCAAGGGGGCGTGACAAGATCAGATAGCTTAAGGTGGAAGTGCGCATCATGTGGGATGTGGAAGCTCAATTATTTCAAGCCAGCCAGTTTGGTAAAGATGTATACAACGTGTTTTTTATGGTTAGAAATCTTAGAGGAATTTCAGTACTTCAAAAAGAGTGGGAAAGCAGCAGATTAACTTTCAGATACCCTTTATGAACCGATCCTTGTTTAAAGTTGTCTCGTGGGCCAGAAATGATTAACCATAACAAATGACAGAGATTGAAGACTCTTGGTGGTTCTCTCCTTTCATTCCCCACTTCCCCAGCTGGCACTGGCCTGGTGGCCCGGTGCCTAATGGGGTGGGGTTAGATTTTGAAAACAAGGTCTAGTGGGACGGTAGTGGGAGGTCCAAAAGAAAATGATGTCACCAGATAGTGTCTGTTTCGAAGGTCCAACTGATAAATAATTCAGTGAGTACAAAGCAGGAAGGCAGGTTTTTGGCCTTTTGGGGTTAGATATAGATCAGAAACACAATGATAGATAAGTGAACCAGAATACCTGCTGATAACTCCAAAATAAATGCAAAATTTTCTTAATCTTCCTTTTTTTTTCTTTTTTAGAAAAGCAAGGCCCTAAGAAGTCAAAATCTTGCATGTATTATCCTGTCTTTTGTTTTGTTCGCAGCTGGTCATTTGTTGGATCACACATTCAGCCTTTTAAATTTTATAGGACAACTTGTCGTCCTAAAAGAATCTCAGGCCTTGACGGTGGTGGTGGTGGTGGTGGGGAAAATTTAGGCCTTACTAACTGTTAAAAGTTATTTACCCTGCAGGTCGAAAGAGATTGAACTGAGATAAAATTAATGCCAAGTACCAAACGGTGTTAGTGTTCCAGTTTCAATCTTACGCACCCCACCTCAATGGATTTGCTCAAAAGGATAAGTAAGAGCAACCCCTATAGGATGACAAGAAAGCTGCCAAACCAATGCCCCAAATCAATAAATTTAGAAATTAATTTCCTCCCTTTTGCTGTACCTTGGAGGAAGCCTAAGGAAAAAGGGAAGTTGGAACGTTATAGCTTAACCTTCTTAAAGTAGTTAATATGATCTGGGTTTTTAATTCCTTTTTCTTTCTTTGCAAATTGGTATTCTGCAAATAAAATGAGAAATAAGTAAAAAAATAAAAATAGTAAAGTACATTATACATATTTTGGCATATTTATGAATCATTGCAAGTGGCCACAAGTCCTCCTTTTCGGGGAAGGAGTTGATACAAGTTCAAGATTGAACCTTGGATCTTGCAAAAGGCTATGCTTCCCATCATTATAGGGGAAAAAAGAAGGAAAAACACAATAACACAAGCTGAAATAAGTGAAATTCTCTCCCCAATTTTCTCATATATGTAAATTTTTAATAACTTTGGGTTAGTTGGCTGAGGTAGTTGTGGTGGTTGCAGCATCTGTAGTAGCTTTCGAGCCAACTTGTTTTAAAGTTGAAGTCATGCTTGTTTCCGCAGCTTCTGCTTCTTCCCTGAATTTCTTGTAGATGTCACTTTTGTAGAACTTTCTGGTCCTAAAAACCAAAATACAAGAAACAATGAATCCAAACAAGTTGGTGGCTATGATTATTAAAAAGGCCATTCTGTAACACTGCCCTCCAGTGCAAGTCAAGTCCTGTCCTGGTTTCCTTGTACGACCCAAAGCTTTCATTTGCTTCAAAGCCTCTTTATCATATAAATGACCGGCCACTCTAACATTTAGAATGTAAGAACCAACTGGACTAGCCATAGAACCAAAATTGTATAATGTGGAGTAGTATTTAAGGCCAAAAATTTCAGAGATGATGGCATACAATAAGGGCCATTGTGCTCCAAAGCAGAATCCAATAATCACTGAAGCAAAGTAGAGGGAATTTGGGACTGCAAAGGCAATCAGAAGATGGCCAACACAAGAAAAGAGAATCATGAAAGTGAACAGCAATGGCCTTGGCATCTTGTATTTTGTCAACAAGTATTCAGAAGCAAAACCAGCCACTGATCGTCCAAGGTAATTCCATATACTTACAAGTGAAACAAAGGTGGTTATACTACGACTTGGGTAGCCTAATGAGTTACCAATCTGCCCCAAGTTGTCGATGGCTGTCAATGTTCCTCCAACACCACATGTTGTCGCAATGAAGATAATCAACATGTCAATGCTGAACAGTGCTTGCAATATAGTGTAGTCTTCACCTCTATCTGGTGGCTTGAAAATGTTTTCCATGCAACCAACATGCTTCTCTGGACCTTTTGAATCTCCGGTAGGTTGTAGCAGTGGTTCTACTGTCACTGTTTGTGGTGCTAATTCAACAGTTGTTGGATTTTCTGTCACTACTTTCATCTGAGAAACATCATTCAACGCTTGTTTCTTTCTTTTCCAAATCTTGAAGTCCTCTCTCACAACGACAGCGAGTGGAAAAAACAGCAATATAGTAACAACAGAAGAACTTCCTACGTACTCAATTCTGTTGAAACTTAGCCTGCTTTGTATGATAATTAGCACCATAAGGAAACCAGCAAGGCTAAGAGAAATGAAAAAAATGTTATAGAAAACTCTGAGCTCGTTTGTCTGGCGAACGATCTTTATAATCCGAATCGTTCGAAGAAAGACAAAGGAAACAGCAGCAGGAAGCCAAGCTATTAGCAAGATAAGAGCCTTTGCGTTGTCTCCATAGAAAGCATGGTACAGCTGTGTCAGGATTGCACCACTTAGACCAACATAAGATTTCAACAGGCCTAAAACACTTCCCCTGCTTTCAGGGAAGTTTTTAACCGAAGTGACAAGTGCCCCAGTATTGGCAAAGGCCTGTGAATTCGCACCTAAGCAGATGTATGCACACATTTGCCACACTTGGGGTTTGGCCGTGCGGCCGGTGACTGCAAGCCATATCATGAAATAGCCAAAAAAATTCATGACTGCCCCAATCAAGAGAACCACCGACGGCGGTGTTACCTCATTGATGAGCCCTGACAGTATCCCAACGTTGCCACCCAAGTCCTTGGAAAAGCTTAGCAGATTGAGAGTAGTTTGGTCGTATCCCAAAGATTTTTTAATAACATTTGAATATAGACCAAAAATATATGCTGCACCAGATACGGACATGATAAGCAGTGAAGCAAAGACCATGAACCACCTTCCCATAATCAGGTTCAACCCAAAGCTCTTCATCTCTCTCCACCCACAACTAACACCACTGAAATTATCCGCCACCATCGTTTTTCTTTTTTATCTTTTTGCCAGCAACCTAGCAATGTCAGGCTAGCTACTACTAGCAAGGAAGACTAGAAAACACGTATTTATAGCTCATTTTTTGAGGTTAAGGCGGTTTTAAATAAGAAATTCAACACTGACTGATGCCAAGAATGAAGAGGTGCGGTTTCTAAGAAGAAAAAAGATAAGGGGATAGAATGCATTGATGAGATGAAAACTTAGCACACTTCAATTATATGATTATGAATCATGAAAATGACAGGCCTACATGCAAAATTTTATGCATTTCCGGGGAATTCTAACTTCTAATCACATATTATTATTATTTTTACCAAAGATTCATGAGCCAAAATTGCTACATAGTGTAACAATGAGCCAGCAAAGTTGGGTAAAAGTTAATAATGTGAACGACCAAACACGGTCAACGAAAATGATTGAATAATGAATTGCGTCAAATTTAGGACTAAAATGAAGAAACACGAAAATTTTAGGGATTAAAAGGATAATAATATGTAAAAGTAACTAAACTGAAGCGATTGCTTCGTACAGAAGTCTGCAAGTTAAATAGTTATGCAAGCATTGGCACATCCTGGATAAGATGAAATGCCCATTAACATAAACACAAAAATATCCTAAATTTTCTTTTTTTATATATATAATATTGAAAGATATTGATTTTTAATTAAAATTAAATAAAAATATTTTGAATAGAATAAAACTAAGTTTCAATCTAAATAATTATGCTCAAAGCTCAATCCAAGTTGACCTAAGTTGACAAATCTTGACAAATAACTCATTTCATAGGCAGATTTTTTTATTTTTTAAATTATCTTTTTTGAAATGGAAGATAAATTTTTAGCTATGTTATTTTTTGTTGATTAATAAAATATTTTTAGCTGATCAAATAATTTCTTATCAAATAAAATATAAAATTATATAAAAATATCTTTTAACAATTAATTTTTGCTAAATAAACAAAACAAGAAAAGAAACCAAGCTAGGGTTTGAATTCTTAACAGTTTATGAATTATGACTTTTAGTGAGATCATTGGCTTTGTCTTTGACGGAGGTTCAAGTAATCTGTCGTAGCTGAAAGACATTTTTGGCAAAGGGACATGGCGACAATGCCATTCATACTTTCTGTTCTTATCTGCTGTATCATCATTACGTATCAAATGTCAGCACCCTCGTATCATCACCGATTGCAAGCTTGCTAAAGTTACAAATTCAAACAAAATCATCTTTTCTTATTATATCAAAAAATATTCAGCCTTCAATATCATTTATTAAGAGTTATTATATGAGTTAATCGAAATAAATTTTAAATTTTAATCATAAAATTTTTTACTTGTAATTTGATATAGTCTTTGATGAGAAATTTTAGCATCTCAAAATTTATATCCCATAAGATTTTAGATGGCGTCGAGTGGAACATGTAAAATAGCAAACCAGGGAATCTGATTCGAGATGATTTTATCTTATGTCATATGGCTAAAGTCAGTAATCTCAACAACTCTCAAAGCTCTTTACGTCATACAGAGGCATCAACCGTTGATTTTTTAAAAATAATTATATAAATTAATTAAATTAAAATTTTATTTATATTTAATATATTTAGAATGGAAGAATCGAATAAGGATATGATTAGCACCAACCGGACATTGGACACTTCTAACATGCACATCATTGGCACCGCCTTAAGGCATAACTGATCATATGCAGAAACTGGAAATCACTGTTCTTTTCAGCATGTTCTGCAAATTTATGTTACAGGGAAATGAAAATTGATTTAGAAATTTCGTACGGATTGCTTTCATATAACCCAACAGACCCAGCAAAGGGCCCATGATAAAAGATACTTACATAACAAGATATGCATGATATCTACCTCTATGATACAACTCTGAAGTATACATTGCCATAAGAACCTTACTATTCCTTCATCTCCTCTCTATCACAAGGTTACCGGTGAAGCTGGAACTCTAAGATGTGAAATTTTAGTAACATATGACCCATAATTTACATCTGACTGCATTGCGATGCAGTCGCAGGGCAAAGTATACTGCCAGGGGCCGTGATCATCCAGAAGGAACGATGTGGTGATCATAGTTATTCCCAACCCATCAACAGCTTCCAAACTCCTTCCTCGACCTTTCGCCTTGGAACAGATAAGCTAGCCCCCTCATCTAGTAGAACTCTGTAAACTTCCCACTCTCGATCTCCAATCATGTGTCTTCCAATCTCTGCCTGAAAATTTTGCGTACTCAAAAATGTTATAGGTGCAATTTGCAAAAGAAAAACTGAGAAACATAATTGACTCCAAATAAGTTAGTGTTTTATTCTGATCAAGCAATATAATGCATGTAATACGTTGGATTCATGTTTGGACAAACAGGTAGCATAACAGTAAAATTGTACCATATCCTACCACTATATAAGGTATGGCAAAGGAGTAAAAGAGAAAAGAGTAAAGGCATATTATTGCATACTCACAATCCCCTAGTCAGAGTAGGAATTGGAACTCCATCAAATTGTGAAATTGGTGCATAAAAATATGTTGCAGACTAGATATGGAAAACATGCAGCCACATGATATCAACTCTAATGCACAGTTAACTTCAAAATCCCGATGATGCAATCTGGTTTTAAGAAACAAAAATGCGTTTATTTACATGGGAAAACAAAATACAGGAAAGCATAGCAAAACTCCTGTAGAAGCTTATACAGCACAGAGCTGAGGAAGTACCGAGAAGATGCAAGTGTTAAGCGTCTTTAGAGCAAGGGTAATGTCATAAAAAACAAGAGGCCGACCCTTGCTAGATAACTCTACAGGATTTGCAACCAGAAGCTCAGTATCAGGACCCCGGCTCACTACAGCCACTCTGAGTGGTTGGAGCAGTTCCATCTGCAGACGTGAGGACAATGCACTTTGCTTGCTAGGATCAACTATCTTTTTCCCATCAGCTTGCATTATAAACAAGTCAATCTCACACTTTCTTCCTTGTTTTATATAGAAGCGTCCATATGAAATCTAGTTACATTATGAAATTGAGGCATTAACATGCTGAAACTAGTGTTCAGTTACATGTTCTAAGAATTTTTCTCTTCCCAACTGAAAATTAAACAAGTAAAAAGGTGCTTCCACAATTTTGAAAGGAATCATGTCAATTATGATTAACAGATACACGTCATAATATTGAACATTTGCTATAGGAGCATAGCAAGAGTGGTTTTATCAATTCATGGGAGCGGGGTACTTAAGCAACACACATAACTAAAGTACAGCCACATGAAAATTACAGAAGAATAAAACCCATTGAATTGTCAAGAGTTTCACATATCAAATGCTCAAACAAGTAGAGATATGTTCAAATGAGCATAACAACAATATCATAAATAATTCAAGCTAGAATGATCTTAAAACCAATCCTCGTGGACATAAAAGATCAGACAAATGTCCATGACCAACTGTAGCATATTACTTTCTTAATAGTTCAATAAACCATTGATTTATTATATAGTAATTAGTCTATCTACCTGAATGTTGTAATCCTTTAGAGTTCTCATTATGTCGTAGAGAAGACCTTTATGATCTTGGCAAACGATCTGAACAAGTGTGTGAGCAGGACTGAGTGAGTTGTCCATAATGACAGAAACATTGTTGGAAGTAAGTGATACACTTGGGAGTTCATTGGACATCTCTAAGTGGAAAATATCTTCTGTTATTGCAGATGGGAGAAATGGAGATGCCAGAGAACATGCAGTAATTTCAGGTCCAGACTTTTCAATATTACAGCTAATCATAGCATCCTGCATAACATCTTCCAATGCTTTATAAGTGTCCTCCTGCCTTTTTTTTGTATGTAATAGTTCCCTGGAAAACATCATAATATTAACAAGGGATGTTACTTTTGAAAAAAGGAAAAAAAAAATATTTTGTTCCTTTCGAAAAGGGTTGTAGAAACTCCAGGTGGAGATGCAAGATGCCTCAGCTTATCCGAGTTATAGCTACTATAACCTATAATACCCTTTTAAAACCAATTTGACCCATCAGAGAATATATTCTTGCCTACATCAATTCAGCTCTGAATCGCTTAACCCTTTATCCCAAATGGAATGTTAAGAATATTCTTATAGACATACATAAAGGTCGTTTGAATAGACAATAAACTTCTACTTAGATGTACATGCTGTTATGATTCCAGATACATTTGCAGTCATTTCAAACAAGCCTAACTGGTCCTGGCTAACCAACATAATACATAAACTGAATGGATTATAAACCTCTATTACATGAAACAAAAAACTAATTTTCAAAGATTAGCAAATCACGGAATCTGATTTGGAGGAATCATATCAAAGAAACAAAACCTGGTATCTGTAACAAAGAATAGGTCCATCACTGTGCCATCTGGAGTTGTTGATACCTTCACTTTCTTTATATTGAGTTCAAGACTACACAGAACTTTTGTCACATCTGCCAAGAAAAACATCTACAATTCATTCACTAATATAGTTTAGAGGAAAAGCAAAAACAGAAAACCATTTCTTCATGCCCTATATAACAGCTGAACTAACAGGGGAAAAAAGGGCTTGGATTTCTAAAATTCAATACTATGTTAATTTTGACATAAAAGAAGAACCCCAAAAAGAATTTTAAAAATGATAAATCTCCCTGACTTGAAAAAAAGATAACCAAATCAAGACCAAAACTTCATAAGAATTGAAACTACACGAAGATGTTCTCAAAAGAAGAAGAAAAAGTTTACCATGTAAAAGGCCTTTTCTGTCATAGCAATAAAGTTTGAGGAGAAACACATCGGGAGGCTTAGGAGGCTGCAATTCAGAACGGTAATAAGAAATCTCAGAAGCTGAAGAGCAAGAAGGGCAAGCCTCAATTAGTCTTTTCTTCAACAATTCCCATCTCGAAGAATCCCATCTTGTTGTTGGCTTACAAACCACCCAAAACACTATGTAGCACCATTTCCCATCTGTAGATACGTCTTCATAATACAAACCAAAAAAAGTTTTAAAAAATAATTATCAAACTATGTTACCAAAATCAAGTCAAATTATCAAACTTCCCACAGCCTCTCAAATTCCCATCATTTGTTTCATTTAACCGACGATAAATAAAACCATTTTTTGCTTCTAATAGCCCACAAATGAAAACTTGAAAGATCAAAGTTCCCAATTTTTTCATTCAAGTTAAACCAAAACCTCAAATTCTCCATAGCTTGCTTCACAAATTAACGTAAATGCTCAAATGAAGATAAAAAAACACATGCATCAAAATTGGGTTGGCTTCCAAATATTCAAAAGGTGAGAACCTGAAAGAAAAAAAGTTCCAACTTTATTTTATTGCTGAACAAAAACATGCAGTCTTTCTAGAAAAGAAAATTTTGGTTTACCTCCTCTAACAATGCTAAGACCAAAAAAGAGCAAGATGCGGCATAAATCACAGCCTAAACCAGTTTTATCAGGGCAGTTAATAGTGATAACACTTGGCTCTCCTTCATTCTCTGGTTGCCTAATGATCACTATGTCGTCGTGTAGAATACCCATATATTTATTCTTCTTCTTCTTCAAAGCTTGAAAGACAGTGAAAGATCTTTGCTTTTCTTTTTGGTTTGGTTTATTCTTTGCTGTGCTTTTATGAGTTGTTGTGTTTGCTGTGTTGAGGAATACGGAGAGGCAATAGTGTTGTGGAGACAGATAAAAAGAAGAGCTAAACAGAAAGCAAAGCAAAACGCAGCGCAAGAGAGCGAGAGAGAGAGAGAGAGAGAGAGAGAGAGAGAGAGACAGTGTCTTGTTGCTTTGCCGTTCTTTGCTTGTGCTTCACTTGTAGTTGTTGTTTGCTAGTCCATTTTTCATTTTCTTTTTTTTTTTTTTCAGTATCAAAAAAATAACCCCTCCTATAATTTTACCATGTTGATTGTTAGTTGTTGAACATCACAAATAGAATCCATTATCTTTTTCTTTATTGGTTTCTCGATATTTTAAAATAAGATATATGATATTTGATAATTTAAAATAAATAATTATAAATTATATATTTAAAATGATCATAATAAATAATTATTAATACAATTCAATTTAAAATATTTTTATTGAAAAAAACGACTCTTAACTAATTGACTTATAAATTATTTTTAAGTTATATCTTTTTTCTTTTAATTAGAGAAAACAAATTATATGCACAAAATTAATTTAATTCATAAAAAAATAGTTTTATTTTTTATTAGAGATTCGATTCGTAAGAAAAATTTCAAAACTATTATATTAGTGTTGATAAAATAAATTTTGGAGTAAGATGTGCTATTCGTTATTCTAATGACATGTAACAAAATACACTGACATGTCTAGCAAAATATTTAGTTGCTTTTAAGCAAAAGCTCTTTAGATTATGATTGTAATTTTTAAAAATTTATTTAAAAAAACGTTTACATAATTACATAAATATATAAATTGTGGCAAACTTTTTTTTTTGTTGCTTTGATTTAGATAAAGATATCAATTCAAGGATATTTTAGAAAAAGAAATTTATTGATCAAAATTTCTAAATCAAATTTCAAAACAAACAAGTGGGAATACATGAAAATGTCAAAAAAAAAAAAAAGGATTTCCTATAACAAAACAATCACCAATCATAGATTCCTTATCCTCTTTTGGTTTTTGTTAAGCTTGGATACCTTATCCCTATTCTCTAACATTATTTCTCTTTTTTAAGAGTGAAAAAAAAAAAATCGATTTTATGTTATAGTATTCAATTTAGTTTGAATCAATTTTTTTATTAAATTTGGATAAATTTTGAATATTAAATATATATGAGATTCGGATCAAATTTTAGATTAAGAGATAAAAAATTAAAAAAAAATAAATTAAACTAAATTATATATATTTTTTAATTTTTATAGATCTTTTAAATTTTTATAAAATAAAAATAATAATTTCATATCAAAATATATTTAAATATATTAAAATTTTATATTAAAATAATATATAAAAATAAAATTTTAAAAATTAAAAATTGATAAATCAAATCAAATTAAACTAACAAAATTTAATTCATATCAAATAAAATTTAATTTAAATTTACATCAAAATTTAAAATTTTATAATATTATATAATATATAAAAAATATCGAATTTGATTCGGATATAATTTACACCCTTACCATTTTACAATTCCTTTAAATTTTTTTTAAACAAAAAAAATTGTGGGACCCTTATTCCTATTTTGTTCCAACAGTATTGTGTGGCACTGACACGGTCCAACATTTTTGGAAATGCTTAAATCTTCAAACAGTAAAAAATAAAATTCTATTATATGTTTACTTCATTTACTCTAAAGATATCATTGGCGGAGACCTTGGAAATAAACTCCGTATCACGATAAATGACGAGATATTAGATTTGGCCTTTTTTTTTCCACTCTATGGTCAGCATTTACGTTACCCGATCGTGACTCACCTCCGCGCACGGACCATTAGCCGCCATCACGTGTTGTATTTTCTGGATGGTCCCCGTGGGTCACGTGACCTTGTTCTGCCCTTTAACCGAGGTTTTGGGAAAAGTTGCCTTTGTCAGCTGTAAGTAATACGTCATCGTTTAGGTGAATAATAATAATAAATAGTACTTTATTATTTAAAGGAGTATAAATGAGGTCATTGCATGGGTCACCAACGTCATCAATCTTGGTTGATAGTAATAATTTGTATTAATTAATTAGATGGACTTTTAATTTATAAACTTTATGCATTTATAGTTATAAATTTTTAATAATTATAAGTAAAAATTATAATTATAATAAAATATTAGATAATTTTTTATATAGTACAATAAAATTAAATAAATAAATTTATCAACAAATTATTATGTCAATTTAAATATAAAATTTCAAAATGCTTGAATTTTTTTTTTATTATTGAGACAAAATTCGATTTGATGCTTTTAGTTTTGTTGTAAAGTTGGCACAATAACTACTATTATCCTATTTGATAGTTTGATGTATTTAATTATTTAAAATTAATTTTAATAATTTTATTTTTATATACAAAATTAAATTATAATATTTAGATTCCACTATTTTTAAAATTAATATGATCTTAAATTTGCAATTTTGCATGAAGGATTAGAATTGTATACTAAATATATAATTAGCACAGCTGTCTTTACCAATCTCTTAAAATTTTCATGGCAATATCATATCATATATTCCCTTTTATCTCATTTTTTTAATTTCTTTATGTCTAAAAATATGTTTTTTAATATTTAAAACTTTTATTTTATATTTGAATTTTTTTATTTTTAGATATAAAATATCATAAAACTTGAATTTTATAAAAAATAAAATTTAATATTAAATATATTAAAATTAATTTTTTTTTCAAATTTCATCCAAATTAATAATACTTAAATAATTTTAAAAAAAGAAGCATATATAATAATTGCAATAAAAGTAATCATTTGTTTAAGCACAAAATTTCACATCCAATTATTATCAATGCATCAAAATCACTAACTGTGCATGAGAATGAATACCCTATTAAAAATGGTGGAAAAAAAAAAAGAAGGAAAAGCCTGTCTCATATAAGTACAACAAAGCAAACGGTGGACATGAAGCCACCGAATCCCTTCAGCTTTCAATATATTCATGTAATAGCCAATGCAACCATTGCAAATGAGGGTGAAGATGATGACCTATAATAGTAGTGGATTTTGACACATTCATTATGTGGATGAAAAAATAAAACATAAATTATGAGTTAAAATAAATAAAAATTGTGTTTTGAACTTTAATGGGTATTTTTATTTTTTGATATTTCTAATAAAAATAAACTTAAAAATAAGGGACAAATATATAAAATAAAAAAAAATCAATCAAAGGAATGAAGAACAACTATGCAGGAATAGTAAGCTTTTAAACTTTTGTTGTGTAAAAAAAAAAAAAGTGTTTTTGTTGTTGTGTTGCTGTTAGTCATAGCTTTGGCGTCCACTTTGACAGGGGAAAGGATTGGGACAGGCTAACCAGTGGAATTGAAAAGAAATTTGTGTTCACACAACAAAAGGGGGACAGTGCTCACCGTTTGACGCCATGCAATGACGCCATGCTTTTCCCCACATTGCCCATTTATTTGGGAAAAATAACTATTTGGCTTAATCATGTTTCAAAAGTTTTTGACGCTAGAAAATGGTCAAGGTACCTCCTAGAATTATGGCTAATTTTTAAATTTAAATTTTTTATTTGAAAATATTAAAATTAAGAATTTAATATTTTATTAATAGATCATATTAATATTAATAAAATATTTATAACATATCACAGACCTCTTTTTTATATTAAATCGAAATGAAAGGAAAACATACACAAAATGAAATGTCAATTGTGTTATACAATATTTTTGTACTAGTGATAATCTCCCACGAATTTATTCACATATTATAAAATTTCCTCTATGTAAAAAGTAACTATAACACGTATGATTATTTTTAAAAATTTCATTTAAACATGTGTTTTGTGGTGGATTTTATTATTCAATGAGTGGGAACTAAGTCTAACAAGTGATATCAGATAATAATTTTGATAAGTTTGCGAATTCAATTGGTTTATGCATTGTACCTACCTTTCAATTCCGAAATTTTTCTATAAATTATTGAACTTTGGATGGTATCTATAGATTTTTGCAATCATATTTAATAATATTTATTGTGGGATTCATATGAAAAGTATTTGTGAGTACTCAACTTTGAATGAAATGGGAGGGGGAGAGAGTGATGGGATAAAGGAAGGGGATCAAGTTGAGCAATAAAGAAATGTGATTTTGTGAACTTTAGTGGGTTAGTGTGGGCATTAGGAGACTCTAAAGGCAGTGGGTGGACTAGGGTTTCCCATTGAACTTAGGAAAAAATGCGTTGGGATACTCAATTTGTTCTTTTTATTCACCTGTTTAATGCAAATTAAGATTCCCTTCTAATCATATAAAAGAAAGGGAAGAGAAAAAAAGTAGACGAAGTAAGGTTTCGAAGTTTAAAAATTTTACTGACGAAGAATAAAATAATTTCTTAAAATATTTAATAAATTAATACTCAAATAAAAATTTATCTTCGTTAATGTCATAAACACTTAAAAATTTTAATTATGTTTTTTATTATCAAAATTAAAAAAACAAGGCATATATCTTAATTCAAAATTCTTCTTTTTTTCTTCCTGAGTAATTAGGTCAAACTTTGACCATAAAGCAAAGATGAAGAAAATCCCTTCCTTGAAAACAATTTGTTATTGATATTGAAATTATTTATTCTCATAATAGAAAAATAAATCAAGACTACAAGATTGTTTGTGTTGAAAAAAATTCTTTGACTATATTGACCTTTTTAAAGACATTTTCCCCATATTTCCTTATTCTTATAGCAATATCTGGGTGTGTCTCCATAAGTTTGCTTTTTTCTTACCCACCCCACGTAGTTTTTGCGCTAAATGTGTCTTTAAGTTCAAAGTCAAAACATGTTACGTGATCCTAATTACATGCCACTTAAACTATTATAGACTCTTAATAGCGATTTACGTTTTTTTTTTATTAAAAAAAATCATAATTTGAAAATTAAAAAATTTACGATTTAAAATTCAAATTCATTAAATATCAATATTTTAAAATAATTATACAAATTAATTGAGTTAAATTAAAATTCATTAACGCTCCCTTTTATCATTCTTACATTTTGGAGAAAGGAAAATGACGCCCAGTTCAAAGGAAGGGTTGTTTTGAAAATCTAAC